CCGTTCTACAAGGAGGACGGCTCGTTCTCGAGGGAGAACGGCTCGTTCTCGAGGGAGAACGGCTCGTTCTGCCCCCGTACTGGAATTTAAATTTTGGCCTTTTTAACAGACTGGAATGGCCCGTTCCAGTTTTGGAACGGCCCGTTCCAGTTTAATTTTTTTCACAGCCCAGACTTTTAAGATCGGTTATAAAGCAACCGATGTTAAAAGTTAACTTTTAAAATCGATTGTTTAACCGATTTTAAAAGTCTAATTTTTAAAATCGGCTCTTTCAAAATCGGTTACAGAACCGATTTTAAAAGTGAAAAATAACCAATTGTAAAATCCTTTTTTCTACTAGTGAACGTTCGTCCTAAGACGATTACCTTTAATTAATTAAACAAATTATTTATGACTTATAAAATATTTATTTGACCCTAAATTTATTAACTATAATGATCAAATATATTTTATTTATCTAATTTAACTAATGCATTTGAAAAAGGTTTAAATTATTATTGTTATATAAAAAGGAGGATAATACTATTTTTATTTTTTTAGCTCGACAAGACTTATTTCTTGCTTCTATGTATCTCCATGTATAACGAAGAATCAGAGTCACGTAGTTCTTTGTAGAAAATATTTGTACGTTGATATTTTTTAATTAAATTTTAAATTGAGGATTCTTGAACCATCTCAGCTTATTCACCTTAAAAATATAAAATTGACTAAAGTGTACACCAAAGTCAATTCAATAAAAATTATAATTGTAATTATTGTTATAGATATTATTATCTTAAAAGTTTTTTTTTTGTTGGACATTTTTGTTTTTGGAGAAAAAATTTAAAGATAAGTTATCACAACTTGTACTTTAAATTCAAAGGTTAAAAAGATGTCACATCTAATTAACCATTCCTCCAATAAAATTTTTCAAGCATACTTTTAAGATCGGTTATAAGATAACCGATCTTAAAAGTACTTTTAAGATCGGTTAAATTTTAACCGATCTTAAAAGTGTTCATGTTATTTACAAAATTGTCATCGCGTCACTTTTAAGATCGATTACAAAACTTTTAAGATCGGTTACTTTGTAATCGATCTTAAAACTCCGATTTTAAATCCAATTTTTGCACTAGTGGTTGTGAGGTACTAATACCTTCCTCACACGTTATCGACTCCCGAACTCAAAAATCTGATTTTTGTAGACCAGTTTCTATTATATGGTTTTTCCAATGTTTTTCCGTAAAAAACAACATTGGTGGAGACTCCTTATTTTTAATTCATTTTTTTCACCGTCTCGTTGCGATCTCGGTTGCAAAAATTATTCATGTTATTTTTAATCATATTTACAAGATTAGTAAAACAATGCCTTTGTTTGAATAATAGGAAGATTTTCTCAATAAATTTTCTTGTTATGTCTGAGGCTGCATGATCTGTTGATGAATCACATCCTATGAACCCTAGTTTGGAGGATACAATTAGGTCTAAGTGTTGGTATGATGCAGTTGGTGGCATGACCAATAAGGGGCGACTGTATGGAGCTGGAGACCTTGCTCATGATTCAAAATATACACACGGCTGTCGCCTCAAGCTTAAAAGGAAAGCATCTTGTAGTAGTTCATATGACACAGAAGAAATTGTTCAATTGAAACAACAATTTGCAGAAAATGATGTGGTTATTCGTCAGTTGCAAAAGTTTTAATCAAGACTGGAATGGCCCGTTCCAGTTTTGGAACGGCCCGTTCCAGTTTAATTTTTTTCACAGCCCAGACTTTTAAGATCGGTTATAAAGCAACCGATGTTAAAAGTTAACTTTTAAAATCGATTGTTTAACCGATTTTAAAAGTCTAATTTTTAAAATCGGCTCTTTCAAAATCGGTTACAGAACCGATTTTAAAAGTGAAAAATAACCAATTGTAAAATCCTTTTTTCTACTAGTGAACGTTCGTCCTAAGACGATTACCTTTAATTAATTAAACAAATTATTTATGACTTATAAAATATTTATTTGACCCTAAATTTATTAACTATAATGATCAAATATATTTTATTTATCTAATTTAACTAATGCATTTGAAAAAGGTTTAAATTATTATTGTTATATAAAAAGGAGGATAATACTATTTTTATTTTTTTAGCTCGACAAGACTTATAGAGAAAAGAGTCTCCTCTCTAGAAGTTGTTAATCAAGAGAAAAACATTTCATAACTAACTTTCTTGATTGAACAACCCTCTTTTATCTTCTTATGCATAGGGACTCTAACTTGCACTACCACATCTAGTGGACATGAGACTCTACCAAAAGGGGTTAAAGTTCTTTTGAAGGAATTTGGTGATCTATTTCTTCCCGAGATTTATAATTTTCTATTATTTCAAAAAACCTTTAATATACATTTAAAATAATAAGTTGTTTTAAATTGTGCTTTTACTACTTACTGCAATGATGATGATGATTGGACAAGTAATCATGACGTATCATGGTACGTAAAAATAGGTTAAAAAAAAACTGAAGTGAATCAAACTATTTTTATAAAAGAATAAAAATTAAAGGCGTAAAAAAAGATTCAACTCAATGGATTGGTCCAATGCTCTGAGCTTCTCAAAAGTTGTCTTGAAATAATTAATGGACCAATTTTAATTGGGTCTGGAAAGCAAATCGGACTAAGACAGACCAATAATTTTTGGGCTCGAGTCTATCCAATCTGATATGCTTTTTATATTTTTCTTTGTAAAATTTAAATAATAAGATAAAATAAAATGGATCAATTTGATCTGTGTCAATTCTAGCCATCAATGTAAAGAGTAAAAGAAAAACAAAATGCAAAATATAGAACATATTAACCCCTCGATATCATTATACCTATTTCTCTTTAGTACATTAAATTGCTTACAATATTTTAACTTTTAAGTCTAATACTATGATGTACATATATTTTATACGATATATAACGACATAATAAATTATTTTCCTTTTGACACATATATATGGTGGCATGAAAGAAAGGCACAAGAGCTTCAGTTACAAATATTATTCTGCAAATAATCCTCTTCCTTTTTGGTTCCGTTCTCAGCCACAAAATCTAGTTTGTATAGTATAAGCACCATTACAAGTGAAGATAATGAAGGTAGCAAAGGCCCAAAGATCCAAAGTTGAAGGGAAAGTGCTGTATAGAAAAGCCTATTCCCCACAATGTTCAATATTGTACCCTTCCCCAAAAGTTGAGTTAAATACTCAGGGGTCACCATGGACTGAACATCTTGTGGAGTACAAATAAGAATGTTCACTTGATTGAGAAACGTAACAGATAGAGTGTGACATAAAAATGAGAATGATAATAGGGTAAGGAGGGTAGTATATTTCAAAGCCACCATCAAAAATTCCCTATGAAAATTTGAGTCGTTGATTGGTTTTTTAACAATGTAAATGTTGCTTAGGATTGCTCCTAGGCCAGCAGAAAGTAAAATGGATGTTGTGGCCATAAGGGTTGACCCCATTATTACATTTCGAAGAGATTGAACTGCTACGATGTTCTTCTTGTCATCATCCTGCAATTTTAGATTTTATAATATGAAGAAATAAGTGATTTTATCCTTCATTGAAACAATGTTGATATATTTGTAAAAAATAATCTCGTAGTTATGCATGATATTATAGTGTTCATGTTCTATTCTACGTTTAAGTCTTTTTAATATCAACATACATGGTATCGAATAAAATTAATGCCTAAAAAAAAAAGAAATTGATTGACTGTATGTTGAATCATTAAAGTTGAAAAAATGTACATATATTTAAAACCACACCCCATATGTGAAAGCAGAAAGGGAAACAAAGAATGAAGTTTGAAAAACATTGGTAAAATACATCAATACCATCTTATCAAAATCTTTGTTCCATATGAGCATGCATGTGAGAGTAAGAAAAGTTAAATATCTAAAACATTTAATCTTACATGGATGATATATTAAATAATTTAAAAAAAGAAAATAAGTCTTCATTATTTTTTATATGATTAAAAAAGGTATTATCCTTTTTTAATTAAAATCTTATTTGATTTTTTTTATCTTGTCACGAGTATCTTTAGTTCATTAGGTTAAAAATTAATTTTACTCGTAGTATTATGACTTTGAAAATCAGTCAAAAATCTCCTAAGTTATAGATTTTGTGACTTTGGAATAAGACTAATGAAGGAAGCATTACTTCTAACTAAGTGGAAGTGGAATTTTTTTCACGGTAGACAATCCTTATAGGGACGTGTTTTAGTATCAAAGTATGGTAGTGGGAGGATATCGGGCGAAGGGACAGTTAATTCCACAGCATCTATATGGTAGCTAGAGAGATCTAAATTTGGAATGTGGAGGAATGATGGATCAAAATTGGCTTGATGAGATGGTGGTATGGAAGGTGGGAGAGGGAAAATATACTAGAATTTGGTTAGATAAATGGGCTGCTGGGAGGAGAAACTTTGGCTTCAAAGTATGTTAGGATCTTCACGAATTTACAACAATAAGATGATGTGATACATCAAATGGGTGAATGGCAAAATGGAATTAGGTGGGTGTGGAACTTTACATGGCGTAAAGAGTGGTTGTTTGCATGGGAACTAAATATGGTGGACAACTTCTAAAGAGAGGTAGAAAATGTCGACATCACTGGGAGAGGAAATGATGTTTGGATATGGATGAGAGATCCAACATGAAATTTCCCTGTAAATTCTCCATATCAAGCATTATATGAGCTAAAGTTTGGTGAGTACAATGATGAAAAACTCAACAAGGTGCGGAAGCTTAGAGTACTAATAAAGATTCAATATTTCACATGGAGGGTGCTTCTTGGTAGACTACCAACCAAACAAAATTTGAGGAAAAGACATGTGGAAATAGCAAAATAGGAGTATATGTGCCCATAGAGTCAAATGAATGAAGAATCAATTTTCCATGTGTTGTTTTCATGTATGCAAGTAAGTCAAATTTGGAAGGAATGCTGCAAGTGGATTGGGATTACAACTATCTTACTAGATCAACCTATCATATATTTTCAACAACACCATCAAGGTCCGTTAAATAGTAACAAGCAGGAGGTATGGCTTGAATTATGGTTTGCAGTCGTGGGTCCTTTAGAACAAAGGAAATGCTCCTATTTTTAGGAAAATTCCATTTGATGGGAAAACCATCTTACATATGAAATCTTATTGGTAACTTGGTAAAGGGAAAAAGTTTGTGGGGTTGATTTTAGATACTTTATTTTTCAATGATACACCTAACTAGGAGCATGTCTATGGAATACAACTAATATATATAAATGATTCACAATGAAATATAATGTTAGCATTAGAGACATGATTCAAATGTAACATAAGGAGATGTTGTGTTTAAAACACACGTGGATCTTTTAACTCAACAATCTCAATCTAGAGGTATCTATTTTGCAAGGAGGAGATGCAATGACAAGAACATATGTGATACAATTGGGCACAAGTAGTATCTCTATATATAAAAAAAATAATTGTTATATATACACGCACGCTATATTGATACAAAAATTATCATTGTTACTAAAAATTATTTTTACTTACACAATAAACATAATATATATTAATATATTGATAAAAAAAAGTATGAGTATATAATTACACATATAATATGTTGTTAAAATTTATTTAAAATTGACATTAAAAATATGTGTAATTATATGTCAAATAAATCATATATATGATATATCTACATATATTATACATATAGTGACATTTTCTGTATGTAACATTTTTTATAGTATAATCATTATATGTAATGTTTCTTATAGTATAATCAGTCGTTGGAAGTAGAATGATTATGTAGTATCTCTTAAGTTAGGTTTAGTGGTTAATTAATATTTATATTCATGTGTTGATATAAATAGAAATTAACCATCTGCATTTACAAACGATTGTTAATTGACATTTTGTATATGAATTTTCGGTCCCATTTATGCTAATTATTAATATAAAATTTTATTTTTTAATTAAAAAAGACCATTAACTTGAAATATTTTTGTATTTCGTAAAAATTGAACATAAGATCTTTCATTAAATAAATTATTTTCACTAGATGTGAGTATAAGATATCCAAGCAGGACATCACATCAAGTTTGGCTCTTATATTTGATATAATTTATTAAAAACTGAAAGAGTAGTATACCTTCATCATGGCAGGAACCCAAAATCGCTGACCATGAGCATCTCTTCCGAAGATTGTGGTGAAGGGTTGTGTCCGACTCTTATGCCATAGCCATAAATGATATGCAAGGATAATGACTAACCCAAATGGCACAAGCAACATATCCATATAATAGATTCTCCACTCCATCATCTAAGTAACCTCTAGTTTCAAATAGGTGTAGTTCTTCTTATTTTCACCTTAATTAGTTGAATGAACACAGCTCCTTATAAGTCCTATGCATGTGTATATGTGTTTATATATATACATCGAAAGAGAGACTAGGATATGATTGAGTTCATTGTTATCACCCTAGTTTACTTTTATAATATAATAAAAAAAAACTAATAAAATAAATGCTTAAACTGAGTGTCCAAGTCATCAAAATGTTTTCTTTTTCTAATAAAAAACATAACTCTATCTATAATTAGAGACTAATTTATTTTAAAACGTAAAAATTACCAAAAATGAATTTTTATCTCTCACAATAAAATATTTTCTATACGCACGATCAAATAATCAAATCTCGATTAACATGTTTAATTAAACTTAGCTATCTTTGTTACTAATTAATGTGTTTAACTTGTTGGTCGAACTAAAGATTCAAATACAATTGGTACACTCCAAAACTAGAAAAACATTTGTCTCTATTTAAGATATAAAAATCAAAAGGAAAAACCAATAAGCTCCTAACAAAACCACTCATTCCCTGAATCCACAAAAAATCTAAACCAATTAGATTTTATTTCATCAGTGTTGCTCGATCATTTTCGCTTGTTAAAAATAAAAAAAAAAACAAAAAAAAAACTGACAGATCTGCTGCTACTTCCATAATAAAGTTCAAAAACAAAGTCCAATTAAGACCTCTTTTTCCACAAAAGTAGACTTCATTTTCCATAATGCCTGGATTTATCTGCACCACAACCTTTGAAAAATCCATTCTCAGTTGGCAAAGATTTGGATCCCACCAAAGTAGCTTCTCCAAGTCCAAGGCATTACTATTGACCAATTAAAATTTGGTACCGTGGGGGCATATTCTCCACCAAAAGTAAGTGTATTCCTGCGTAGGTAAAAAAATAATAATATAAATTTTAATTAATTTCACTACATGAAAATGGTGAATAAGGGGCAGAAAATAAGCGTCGACTAATAGCTGACACAAATAGTGTCGGAAAAGCCAATGCTATTTTAAGATGTAGCGTCGGTTTTTCCGACGCTAAACTTAAAATATTTAATTTAAATTTATTTTAAGTTTAGTGTCGGAAAAGTCGACGCTATATTTAAATAATAGCGTCGACTTTTCCGACACTAATTTAATTTAAATTTAAATTAAATTAGGGTCGGAAAATACGACGCTATATTTAAATAATAGCGTCGACTTTTCCGACACTAATTTAATTTAAATTTAAATTAAATTAGGGTCGGAAAATACGACGCTATATTTAAATAATAGCGTCGACTTTTCCGACACTAATTTAATTTAAATTTAAATTAAATTAGGGTCGGAAAATACGACGCTATATTTAAATAATAGCGTCGACTTTTCCGACACTAATTTAATTTAAATTTAAATTAAATTAGGGTCGGAAAATACGACGCTATATTTAAATAATAGCGTCGACTTTTCCGACACTAATTTAATTTAAATTTAAATTAAATTAGGGTCGGAAAATACGACGCTATATTTAAATAATAGCGTCGACTTTTCCGACACTAATTTAATTTAAATTTAAATTAAATTAGGGTCGGAAAATACGACGCTATATTTAAATAATAGCGTCGACTTTTCCGACACTAATTTAATTTAAATTTAAATTAAATTAGGGTCGGAAAATACGACGCTATATTTAAATAATAGCGTCGACTTTTCCGACACTAATTTAATTTAAATTTAAATTAAATTAGGGTCGGAAAATACGACGCTATATTTAAATAATAGCGTCGACTTTTCCGACACTAATTTAATTTAAATTTAAATTAAATTAGTGTCGGAAAAGTCGACGCTATTATTTAAATATAGCGTCGTATTTTCCGACACTAATTTAATTTAAATTTAAATTAAATTAGTGTCGGAAAAGTCGACGCTATATTTAAATAATAGTGTCGGCTTTTTCGACACTAAACTTAATTTACATTTAGTGTCGAAAAAGCTAACGCTACATCTTAAAATAGCGTCAGCTTTTCTGACAGTATACGTGCTTTGAGAGAGATAAAGATAATTTTTTCAATGTTATATACGCATAATGTGTTCTAGTACACTTGGTTATCAAGTTCATTTAAGACCTCAAGGTTCACGAATCGAGTCCCACAAATGTTAAAAATACGAACGCTTAAATGATAAGCTGGAAAAAGAAGATAAAGAAAAAAATAAAATAAATTTTGTGTCAACATAGTGTCGGCTTAACCGACAATAAAAAATTAAGATAAATAAATTTGTTAGTGACGACTTAGCCGACACAAAAAAAATTGTGTCGACTTATTTAACGTCGGCCAAAAACCGATGAATAACCGACAATATTACGTCGATTTTGATGATTTAGAGTCGACTTTTGGCCGACTCTAAATCGAAACATTCTTATAGTGTTTCATCTCATTTAATAGAATTATTATAGATTTTTTTATGTAATTAAGATTGTACTATTCTTAATTTTTGACATCAAATTTTAAAGAAAAATATTTTTAAATGAAATTAATAAAATTATATAATATTAAATACTTTTATCAATTAATATCAATTAGGCATTTATTTTATATTTGATGTCAAAATAAGTGGAGATACAGATTCCATTGTACGAAAACATATTCAAAATTAAAGGAAAAGTTTAACTCAGTGGATCAAAATGTGTGCATATACTAATAATAAAAGAAGATTATCTTATTTAGTGTTTATAATTTTTATACCTATTTTACCTTAAATAACTTCTAAAAAGAACCGTCAAAAACTGCTATAAATATTTCAATAGCAAAAAATATCAGTAAAAAATTATCATTTTTTCTGTTTTTTACAAAGTGTTTTTTCTTACTAGTTATTATAACTCTTATGTCAAGACGAATGAAAAAAAAACACACACAAAAAAAAAACAAAAAAAACTCCCAACCATGGGCGTAAATGTAATTTCTGAACTTGGGCCTTGTTTCTTCCTCTTGTTATCCAGTAAATGCTGGGATGGTTCTTTACATTATTGGGCTTAGACCGTCTCCAATTTTGGACTTACTTTGTTTGTTTGTTCGCTATTTTTTGGCTAATGATATATACACTTCCTATTTTTATATGTAGACCTCCTTTATTTTATTAAATTTTTTTTTAAAATATTCATAATTTTTTTATTTTTAAAATTTTTAATTTTACATATGTAACTTTTAATTTACTATTTTTTCTTTTCACACACTTCATTCCTTCTCTTTTCTAGTTTTCACATATACTATCTTGTCTTTTTCTAATTTCTCTTATATTTTAGTAGGTAGTTTTAGTTTTATTGATTTTTATATTACTTTCTTATTTTCTTACATCTTTCACTTTTTCACATGCGCCCAAATCATAGAACTGATAGGCGACAACATTATAGGTACATGTAGCTTCCTTGACAGTTTCTATCAAACTAGACACACATTTTTTCTTCAAACATTTCCTTTCCTTTTATCCTTTCAAAAACCTTAACATTAAGTTTAGTGTTATGAAAAAAATATTTTCACTATTCTAGAGTACTATGCAGATAGTAAAATCAATGAGAAATCTGAAAGAGGACGAGAAAAAAAATAATATACAACTAAAATAATTAAAATTACCTACCAAAATAAGTAAGGGTAAAAAAAATTAAGGGAGTGCATGTGAAAATAAGGAAAAAAGATATGCAAAAAAAAGTGTTAAATTAAATGTTAAGAGTGTAAAATTAAAAAACTAAAAATTAAAATTAAAAATATTTTAAAAATTTAATTATTTTTTTTAAAAGGGGGTGTACTTATAAAAAAAGGAGGTGTATATATCATGATCACTAATTTTTTTTACAACTGGGTCTTGATCCTTTCTCGCACTGAAATGCAAAGTTAACCCAAATTTGTTCTCATAGTTCAAATAATTTGTTAATTTAATTAGACCTAATATTACGTAAATAATAATGATTAAAAATAATTCCTAAATGCATAAAAAAATAATAATAAATTTAGCAATTTCTTTTACTTTCTTGAAGTTATTTATTTTATTTCATTAACGTGAGAGTAGTCGAGAGTTTAGTTTATAAACTAAAATGTAATATATTTGAAAAATACTAGGTTGTTAATTATAAGTACTTTAAAAGTACTCCATATTTGGTTGTCGTGAGAATCAAGTATTTTAGGAACATCAAAGTTATGACAGCTTGGTGATTCCATAAAATTGACAAATAAATTATTTTTTTAACCGGTCAAACGAGATGGTACTTTTTATTTTTATTTGTAAAATTGATGTCGTATGTACTAAAAAAATTTCTACATGTAATTGACTTGACATGCAATTGATAGTTAGGTTATAAACTTTTCTTAATAAATTGTAATAGTATTAGTAGCTATAGTAAGGACAATAATGACAAAGATACTATAAGAAAAATGTTACATATAATGATATATAAAAAGTATTAGATATAATATATATAAGTATAAATTTATTTGACACGTAATTTAAATATTTAATGAGATTCAAAATATATTTTTCATATCACTATATTTTATATCTACACTTTTTAATAATATACTAACCTATATTGTAATTATAATATAAAAGCAAATTTTAATAATAAGTGAGACTATAAAATGTATATCATTAAATGATAATTTATTTTAGTGTGACAATCATAATATTAATAATACATGATAGTTTTAATTTTTATATTTTAATTTAAACTATTTATTTTAATTTAAGAATTAAAATTCAACATTCATATTCTAAAATAAAAGTGACTTTCTCATTATACGCTCTTTGTATTTATTTCATCTAAACAATTCAAACATATGACTATAGCATCCCTACGTAACTTCAACCACATTAAACTATATCATATGCTAATAAAAATCTCCAAATCATCCTATATAAGTTAAATTTCAACTCTCTAGCTTAATATAAAACTCACTGTTAATAACTTGTAATTAAACCAACTTAAAAACAAAGACTTTCCTCCTACTAATATACGAAGAACTACTTTTCTTCTAAATATATAGTTAATTTATAAGTAAATACTTTTCTTCCACTAATGAAGGAGCAAGTTAGGCATAGTATTATTTAATAAAATATTTTATTTAAAAATATCATTTATTTTATTTTCTTTTTATGCTTGAATTATAATTAAAAATAACAGTAAAATTTCTAAATTTATTTTTATAAACAAAATTATTTTAGAGTTGTTTTTTCTCCAGAAGCAAGACTGCCAGAACTCCAATATATAGAGAGAAAGAATTACATATCTTAATTAAGGCGAATAAAATTACCCAAAGTTCAAGTTAATAATGTTACTTTTAAAGAAAAAATAGTTAATTAAGTTGAACGGCACATTATTAATTAGATACTTGATTCCCTCCATTTTACGTGTTGGCAAGGGATAAATACATTCATACGATTAATGATATTTTGTAAAATTGAGGTATATGATAGCTTGGTCAACATAAAACGAAAGATGGGCAATTGTTAAACTTTTTTTTAATTCATAAAAAAAGTTATAAAAACAGGACAAAGATTGCACCTAAATTCACTTACTTTTAACCCAACCCCTCTTAACCACTAAGTAAACATTAATTGTATCGCAAACAATAGAAGTGATCGTGTTTAACAATAAAAGAATATTAATATAACCAAAAGTCAGTAATTAAAGTAGATGTGGAATCGGTGTTCGTCACATCACCTTAATAATTTCAAATTTTCTTATACTACAAAAAATATTACATATAATAATACACAAAAAAATATCACTATAAATATATGTTATATAAATTTATATCTATTTAATAAATAATTATATATAATTTTAATATTAATTTTAAATATTTAATAATATATTTTGTATCACTATAATTTATATTTATACTTTTATCAACATATCAAAATATATTGATAAAAATAGTTTTAATAATACATATTATATTATTATAAAGTATGTTATTATATATTATTATATAAATTATAAATTGTAATGAGAGGCACTATTTGTGACATAGCATTATTAGATCACACATAACATCTCATTCACGTGACAGAAATTGTCATCAACTCATTTTTACCCGTTCATATAACTTGCGATTAGTTAAATTCGAGACTTGTCAAAACTAAAATGACTACGCGATTTAAATCATTGTAAATTTTATTGTGATCAGTTAGTATCATATGGATATTTTTTTCTTCTCAAACTCACGTGGTGCTTAAGCCTACTAATAAGAATATTTATTGAAAAAAATTAACAGTAGTGTTAGATGGGAAATACCCCTTCATAATAAAAAAAAATATATATTCATATTAATTGATTTTATGCTAATGCTATACATAAAAAGTGAGATTATACATTTTCTTTTTATTTAATGTTTATATGTTTAATTTGAGTAAATAGTAGTTTTTCACTCAAAAACTTAAGTACTTATTTATCAATTTTAAATTAAAGACAGGTTTAGTTAAGATAAATTTTCAATTCTTCTTTGTAAACACTTTAATTTGGACATTTTAGTGGATTATTTTTAAACAAAATTTTATAGTTATTTCTTAAATCTATTTTTTTTATATATATAACAGTAATAAATTAAGTTCCGACATAAAATCATATTCAAATTACATAAAAATTTCCACATCATCCAATCTAATAGGATACTTATTTCTCATGAAATTTTTAATACAACAATGCTTTTTAATAAAATTAAATAAACACACCTATATATATTTCATATTTTGCAAATTATTATTTGATACATATAAAACATGGTATTGCTCGTATACAATTTTGGGTGGAAGATATAATTTATGGAGAATACTCTAACTATGAATTAAAAATATGACAAAAACAAGTCCTTTTGTTTGCCCACTAGTTTCAAACGTCATCTGGGATAAAATTATCAACGTCATTGGTGCTATTTCCACCCAGAAAATCAAGGTTGTACAATATAATAACCATTGCCATTGAAGAGAAGAAAGCTAGCACAGGTCCAAAGATCCAAAGCAAAAGGCAAAGTGCTGAATAGAAAAGCCGATTCCCCACCAAGTTCAGTAAGATGGTCTTGTCCAAAAGCTCAGTTAAATATTCTGAGGTCACCATAGACTTGACATGTTGTGGAGTGCAAATAAGGACACTCACTTGATTGAGAAACCCTATAGAGAAAGTGTGACATAGAAACGAGAATGAGAACATGGCAAGGAGGATGGCATATTTCAGTCCCACCATAAATTTCCCATGTGCTCCAAAAATTGTGTCGTTGATTGGTTTCTTAACACTGTAAGTGCTGCTTATGACTGCTCCTAGACCTGCACAAATGAGAATTGCTGTTGTGGCCATAAGGGTTGATCCCATGCATGGTTTTAAATTGCGGACCGCAACAGGTATTGCTGTTGCGGCCTTGTCCGCAACGGCATCGGACCGCAATTGCGATGATACTGGAAATCACACATTTTTCCGCAACGTAACGGTGTTGCGTCCGCAACACATCTGCAATGCACCGCAATACATCCCCAATACGATAAATTGATACTATAATTTTAAAATAAATTAAATTATTCATTAAAATAATAGAATATTTTTAAAAAAAGGAATTAAAATATATAAATCCTTAAAAATAAAATATATATTGATAATTATAAATTTTTTATATTTAGTGAAAATAATTAATAATTTCACATCGCAATAGCCGCAATCTGCATCGCAATACCCGCAATACCTGCAACCGCAGTAACTGCAACCGCAACCGCAACCGCGACCGCAACCGCAATTTAAAACCATGATCCCATGATTAGGTTTCGAAGAGATTGAACTGCTACGATGTTCTTTTTATCAATATCCTGCAAATCATAAAAATTTTATTTGGTAAGTGTCAAATACAAAGAAATTCATTAATTTTATCAAAAGACAGTCACACAGATTTTTTTGACAAGAGAATATAAACTAATGTTATTAACTTTATAAAAAATAAAAATTATACTTATTTCTATGTTATATTTTAATTATACTACTAGTTGATTTGAGATACCTGATATATGATAATTGAAAAGAAAAGAAAAAAAAGTAAGGGTTAGCACTCCTAGACTTAGGGAGAACATATCTATATATGTACCTTGATCATGGCAGGAACCCATAATCGGCGACCATGAGCATCTCTTCCGAAGGTTGTGGAGAAGGGTTGTGTCTGAGTCTTATGCCATAACCAAACATGATATGCTACCATCATTACTAATCCCAATGGCACCAACATCACATCCATATAGTAATTTCTCCACTCCATCTCTTTCACCTGCTTATGCTTCTCTTTGCCTAATTCCTCTTATATATCTTCATCACCTTAATTAACTACACGATGCTTTATTTACTGCTATGAGTATATTTATATAATTATATGTACATATAGGAAGAGAGATATACTTTAATAACTTCTTTAAGACATATTCTCCCCCCGGCCTGTACATTGTACGGAATCATATATGTATATTTTAAAAGAGATGCACACGCTAAACATGTGCTCGAATATTAGGAAGATTTTTTTTTTATAAAAATAATAATAGAAAACTTTAGGCACAAATTGAATTTTAACTTTTATTCGGGTAACCGTGAATGAAAATGTTGGATTCACAATTTTTTTTAAAGATTTAAATATGATTTTAGTCTCTCAAATTTAAGATAAATTTATTTTTAATCTCTCAAGTTTAAAATTATTTTTTTAATCTTATAATTTTTAAAAAATCTTATTTTAGTATTTATATTCAAATTATTATTGTATAAAATTTACTTATTAATAAGAATGACAAAATGAATCTGAGCCCTACAACTACTTGCAAAAATACCCACATACAGGCCAAGTAAATATCTACTTATATGAAGATAGATATGGGATAAGTATATATAGACGTACAAAATTTAGTGGGTACAGATGGGAGTATGGATACTATGGTGTCTAACCCGCCTCACCACCCTATAGTGTGCGTGTATTATTCAAAGAAAGTTAGTAGTTTAATTTGCTAAGAACTTTCAACAAATCAGTGTGTCTGTATGTAATTGTCTCAGTTGATTTCGATGATGAGATCAAATGTCTACATATTTATTTTTTTAAAATTTATATTATATAATTTAATCTATAATTTTAATCTAACTAATTTTTGTGTAATTTTTTTACAAGTTTTGGAGAATATTATTAACACATGATCATGATATTAGAAATTTAATTGCAACTTTTATTATGTTGATTTTTTTTAATTTTATTTACAAGAATTGAATGTTTTGTAATCTCTATTTATAAAAATTATTATGTTATATTTTTATAATGTTAAAGACATGATAAATTAGTATTATATTTTCTTGTATAAATATTATTTCTTTATTAATTTATTTACTTTATACATAAGTAAAATGTGAGTAATGGGTATAAATATGAGTATACGGATATCTAACGGATACGTGGATGAAGATTAAAATTATTATTCATGCAGGTATGAGATTAAAATTATCTATATATATATGTACCATATGATCATGGTAGGATCCCAAATCGACAACCGTGAGCATGTCTTCCAAAGGTTGTGGTGAAGGGCTGTATCTGAGTCTTATATGCCATCACCAAACATGATATGCTATTACTAACCCTAATGGCACAAACATCACATCCATACAGTAATTTCTCCACTCCATCTCCTTCGCCTGCTTCTGGTTATCTCTATTATCTTCGCCTTAATTAAGTGCACAATGCTTTCTTTTATATATATATATATATATATATA